GTTGTACCGTGAATAGTGATTGGTACACAACCATTTGTTTGCCGGAAGTTATTGATAAACTCCGTAAAAATAACCGTAAACGCCGTAGGTATGATCTTGCACCACGGTAATGCCAGTTCTCACACGACCAGACAGACAAACGAATTTTTGAAGGTGAACAACGTTGGCCTTAAGAGCCAACACACGTACAGTCCCGACCTGGCACCTTGTGACTTTTATTTATTTCCAAAAATTAAGAACCAGTCACGCGGTCAACGATAATCGTCACCTGAAGAGGCTGTCGAAGAGTATGAAAAATACGGTTCAGAGATTGTCACGGAGGAGTGACATAAATGTTTTCAAAATTGGTTCATTCGTATGAAAAAGTGCATTAACGCTAACGGAGAATATTTTGAGAAACAATAAATTCATTTATCTAACCATTTCAAATATTTTTTTCTTATTCATTCCGGAAACTTATAGTGCGACTCACGTAGTGCAGTTACCCTACCCGTAGCGCCTTCTACCCATGCTACACACGCGGATTTGCACTATCCCCGACGATACGTTGTCTGTCTGACACATTCAAATTCAGTTCTATAATTATTTATTCCGTCCTCTAAGTTATAAACAGACCCACTGACATTTTTCAGTTCAGTAGAGAGTACCATAGACAATAGAAATTTGATTCAAAACTAAAAAGAGCTCCTTTATGATAAAGTTTATGAAATTTTAATTGCCAGAGTAGAAAAACACTTTTGAGCGTGTTCCATGAGTGTAAAAAAGGACTCCTTATTGTGCCCTTTGAGAGGAAGGGTAAAATGCAGGTTACCCCTCAAAAGGGAGCAATAGGGCATGGGGAAAAGGTAACTGTGCATGGAAATAGGGGACAAGCGTGAAAAGCGAGAGGAAAGTGCATAATCGTCTGGTTTTATACGCTGTAGTTACACAGAGTAGTGAAGAATAAATAAAACAAATGTTTTTGTTAATTCCAATTACTCTATACGATGGTATCTGCATAAATCCATTTATACATCCCATTGCAGAGCATGGGTCTCCTCTCAAGCGAGGGTTTAGGCCATAGGTTCCCAAGCTATTTAACTCACCGCCCACTCAGGCAAAATAAAAAAAAATTTATGTCCACCACCACAAAAAAAAAATAGAAAACGCATATGTATTATTATGTATATTAACACTACAAGGAAAAAATTATGTACTAAAGTTTATGTAGGTAATTCAGTTTTTTTAATGCGGTAGCACCCCCTGGACTGCATCGACGCCCCCCAATTGCTTCCGAGGCCTCTAATGTCATAAGCGGCATTTTGTAGTAAGGAACATTTTCCATTACAACAAAATATTCCTTACGATCTCAGATTACAAAACAATAGGCAGATGGAGCGCGCCGAACAAGAAAGTGAAGCCACTAAAGCAAATACAAATTCAAAAGCGAATACAAACTCGCGTCCGTACTAAGCACAGCGTCTGTCGCATTGTTTGCACGTCACGAGTGATTAGTTATTTTATGTTTAAAAATGCCGTCTTATGTCTTTAAACATTGTAAAAGCTGTTACCAAAAACAAAAAAATAAGATTGTATATCTGGTCACAGCGAACTATTGCTAATTTAACTGTTTAGTAATTTATTTACCTGATATTTTTTGAGATTCACTCGGAACACAAAATCTCGACGTAAATTCGTATGTTGCCAGTTTATCATCGCAGGAGCATAGAATAATTTATACTTTTAGCTTACGACATTTCAAATTCTCACCGTCGATATATACCTATATAAATATATTAGTTATAGCATGGATCAATAACTCAAGATGCCTACTAACTTTCTTTAATAAAATTTCACGCATACGCCGTGGTTGAGAGGGCCACCCGAGCGCGCCCGTGCTCGCCCGTGGCGGCCTGTTCGGATCCGCCGCTGGATGGTAACTTCAAAGGCGCAAGAGCGCGCGCAGCCTGGTTCTCGATACATATTCGAATACGTACGTTTCGTAAAATTCGTACAACTCGGCGCGTCTGACATCGCAGGCCGTGAAAACGCACCCTTATGGGTCATAACTAATGTGACGCTTTGAGTGGGACAGTCCCGCTTTTAAGCTTCGTGTCCCGCTGTCCCCGAAATATTTAACAATGTCCCACTTTGATAAAACGGACATACGTGACTAAAAAAAAGTGTAAGGTTCTATTTAAAATCAAAGACATTTAATATTGCGACTTCGCTTTTCCTAAAAATGGCAACACCTAAATCGAACGGACGTGGGGAGAATGAAAATGGGGTAAATGAGGCGGAGCGAACCACGTGTTGGAGGCATTCGCTTCGTTTTTGGTCGTCCGAAACGTCTAGTCGTAAGAAAAATTGGGAAAAAATGTACCTAATTGTGGCTAGCTAATAGTAAAATTAAATGTAATTGTTGAAGGAATTAAGTGTGTGGATTATTTCTGAAATTCCTTAAACTAGACTAGACATCAATTTTTTTTAAATAAACTTGGTCATTTTCTATTATTTTTGGAAACAGAAATATTTATTAATATTATGCTCCCCGAATTTTTGAAAAATAAATAGAGCAACAAGAATCAAAATTAGAAAAAAAAACAAATTTTGTGAAAAAAAAGAAACCATTTGAGCTTTAATGTAAGACGGATTGCTGCATATTTCTAACCTAGCCTTTCAGCGCGGAATACATAAATTCAGAAGGGTCCCATTGCGGCGCTATGCAACCTTTTTAATGACTCAGGGTCGTACCTATTATGCTACACAGTTTTTACTAACGCACAGTTTTTATTAAGAGAATAGGGGAGAACCGTGGGGTTTTGAAAATGTAACTTTACTCTATAGGCTGTAGTTTTTTGTTTTATAAATTGGAGTTTACACTGTGATTGTAATATGTACATACATATTATTTTAAATTACCGCATTTAATGGTACAGTCAAGAGCACGTCAAGCTTGACACTTTGTACTTTGGACCGTTCTTATCGTAAGCGGCATAGAGTTGAGCTTGACGTGCTTTTGACCCTGTAAAATAAAATATATATTTTTGAATTTTATATTTTTTTCAATTTTATATTTTTATTTATTCCCTGATTTTACTTTGATTCAAAGAGTATTCTATAGCATTTATTTATTTGAAAAGAGCAATTCCCACAGTTTCTTGTTCGTTCTTCTCAGGGAAGTCAGCGTAGTGAAAGAGCTGCAGCTTCAATGTGACATTTTCAAGTGTAAATTTATTTTATAAAGACTAAATGATTTTTTGACTTTGACTTTATTATGTAAAGCTTCGGACGCGTAAATGAGGTCTTGTCCTGTAGCGGCGTTAAATCGCGAAGAGTGGAAAAAGGGAACGGAGGCCTTTGCCCTGCAATGGGACACTAATGGCAGAAAAATTAAAAAAAGATAGTCTCTGAGAATCTCAGTAATTGATAAAATCATCGTCGCCAAAATAAAAAAATTGGCGCCCAAAGTGGGACCAGTCCCGTATCTTCTACAAAATTTTGATTCTAGTGCCCTCCCTATCCAACCTTATGGTTATACGGGAAAGGTACTATTGCCTGTGCAAGCAAACCCACAAACGGATCTGGTGTGGTGTGGTGTAACTGCCTCTGTGGCCGAACGGTTACCATGCCGGACTGTCACGCAGAGGTCTCAGGTTCGATTCCCGGGCTGGGAGAAATATTTGTATGGCCTACATTTATTTCTCTCGTGAGTTTGGGTGTAATTTGTGGTTGTCTATGTGTGTGTCCATGGCACCCGCAACACAGGGTTTCCCTAGTGCGGCTATGTTGAGTGTGTGCGTTATTATTATTATAGGTACTGGGGCTGTTGGCACGCTCACCTCAGGTTGTGCATTGCACACGTACAGGTCTACCGCTTAATTGAGGTAGCTGCGGGGTAAAAAAAAATGTTAGTAAATAAAAGTCAGCCACTAAAAAGAAATGTTAGTTTTTAAACTAAATGAAATAAATGAAGTGAAATGATTTTAATTAAATTTTTATTGAATTGATATTCAATTATTTTTTTGTGAAATTACTCCACTAGTTTGTTATAATTATTAATACAAAGATCGAACACTCGGAAAAAATTCCTTCGATCCGCTCGGATTCGAACCGACGTCTTCTTGTATACCGTGCCAGACGCTATACCAACTAAGCCACGGAACGAACCAACGGACCTCACGAATTTTTCTATGTGCTTGCGTCGTGTCTTTGTACTTGGTCTTTTAACGACTTTTTAGTCGTAGCGCCATCTATGAGAAATCTATTACAGATTTATCACCCAGTTAGTACCTTTACAGCTACCAGTCCTGGCGAGAGATGTCGCTATTCACTGTATTAATTAAATTTTTATTGAATTGATATTCAATTATTTTTTTTGTGAAATTACTCCACTAGTTTGTTATAATTATTCATACAAAGATGGAACACTCTGAAATGATTTTATTTGCAGGATATGGTTAAATTACAGTTTACAAAGAGGTTATTAATTAGTGCACTATATATTACCGTTCATCGTCATGCAAAAACAAAGATATTAATTATAAATTTTTATTTTAGTAGTGGAGTAATTTAAAAATTTTAGATACAGTGAATAGCTACATCTCTAGCCGGGGCTGCTACCTATAAGGGTGGCTGGGTGACGAAATATTTTCATAGATTTCTCATAGATGAAAGACACACATAGAAAAATTCGTGAGATCCGCTGGTTCGTTCCGTTAGTTGGTAATCCGGCCGGATCGAAGGAATTTTTTCTGAGTGTTCGATCTTTGTATTAACAATTATAACAAATATATTAATTCTTAATAATGTAGATACTACAGTGCTATTAAATTTATTAGGTATATTCTAATTTTTTTTTATTATAATAAAAACAATTTTCTAACGCCTGTCCATAACAGTTACAGTACCACTCAGGTACATCTTTCAATTGCAAACAAGTAATTTTCTTATAGTTGCAATTGTAATACATTACTTTTTTGTTTGCAGATCTGTGATCGGCATGCCGCGTGCGGCGTGAGATGGACGGTATACAGATGGAGCCCGTCGGCAAGTACAAGACCGATCGCAACGGTTCTGCTAAAGGTACGAAACCTGTTCTTCTTCTTACCATATCGATGGCATACACTATAATGCTAAGACCACACAGAAGCGGTCGCGGGAGGGTTTAAGCAATTTTTGTAATTGAAACTCTAGCGACTCTAACGAGCGATTCGCTCTGTGTACCGTCTAGGCTCTCGGGTTTCTCTCAGAGAAAAGTTTAAGGAGACTGGTATCATGACTGTGGCATTTACTCAAATATTTTATATGCCCGTAAAAATATACATAATTTCAATAAGAAAGAAGATATCCATAATATTAACCTTAGAGCTAGTCCAAACTCATGGTACCACGATTGCGTTTAACCAAGGTAAACAACTCTTTTATGGGGAACTGTATACGTTTTTACAATAGGATTCCGGAGCATATATTAAGTTTATCATTTCCTAAGTTTAAAAACTACATTAAAAATATTTTGATCGAAAAATCATATTACAAAATTGAAGACTACGTGTTAGATAAAGATGTATGGAAAGACGACATGGCTCCAGAATCCGCACAAATTTGATTCAAAGTGTATTCCATAGCATTTAAGTTTATTTGAAAAGAGCAATACCTAGAGTTTCTTGCTCGTTCTTCTCAGGGAGGTCAGCGTAGTGAACGAGCAGTAGCTTAAGCTTAAATGTGACGTTTTCAAGTGTAAATTTATTTTACCTATGGAATAAATAATCTTTGACTTTGACTTTGACTTTGACTTTGACTTCTAAAATAGAATTTCTTATCCCGCGACAATTACCCAAGTTTGGTAGTAATAGGCTCGTCCATAGGCCAAGATGTCGCACAAATTTGAAGCTACATTGTTTCTTATCGCGAGCAATAACACTGTTTATGGAGTATCAGAGTGAAATTGATCTAATTTGTACTTCCGTTTCTATGATAAAGAAAGTGATGTGATTATGATTGTAGTTTTGTATCGTCATGCCTAACCAAATATTATTGTATTTCTTGTAGTGTATGCTCTGCCCTCCTTTAAATAATGGGACATTTAGTTTAAAACCATAGTGTCTGTATACCTGCATATTTATAGTGTACTCGTTGTGAGAGCCTGACTGAATAAATAAATAAATAATGTACGAGTTCATATGAACCCTGCCACACTGAAACGCGTCGGCCGCTTCTGGGTGGCCAGAGCAATGCTATCGTTAAGGCGCATTTACACGTAGTCGTCTGCTGCTTTCGCTGAAATTACGTCACTCACTGCATTCAATTATCACAATGAACAGTCGCGTGCTCCAAAAGGAGATCGATGCAGTTTGCGACGTGGTTTAGAAAGACGTTACTGACCCGACAAAGTAAACATAAAAAAATCATAACTGTAATTTTATTTGTTATGTGAAAAACTAGAAAGTTCTTTCGATCCGGCCGGATTCAAACCGACGTCTTCTAGCAAACCGTGTCAGACGCTATGCCAACTAAGTCATGGAACGAACCAGCAGACCTTACGAATCTTGGCGCTAAATTTTAAACCCATATTTTCTTTAAAAAGTACACTGGGCGTGATTATAGATATTGTTGAAATGAGAACGCAACAGACCCTACTATTTTCTTTAGAGCAAATAATTTAAAATTACTAATTGCTTCTTTTATTTCATAGGCTCGCCCCTCTTCCCTCCATCGCCATCTATGAGAAATCGAATTTCATTTGTTACATGAAAAACTAGAAAGTGTGCAATGCAACTATTTTTCCGGATTTAAATCGCGTATATATGTTGTTAATAAAACAACTGACATTATCATTTCAAAGTAATGAGTACAAACATTAAACATAGATATCATTTCCCTATTAAAAGTTGCGTGAGCGCGGCAAACTCAGAAAATAAAAATGATTTTCCTGAAACAAATTTTCATTTCAATCTCAATTTCGCTAAAAATGTCCATTACCTACGTATTTAGTAGCAGTAGAGATCATTGTAAAAGAGTTTCTCCAAGGGAATACTGCCATCTTACCTATTTCTGCCGCCAAGTAGTAATGTAAACATTACTGCGTACGATCTTGGAAGAGTACCTAAGGGTGCTGGTGAAATTACAGGCACATAGGACTTTTATGTCTCAGGGTGACGGATTCAAAGCTCTGAGTGGCACTGTACTGTTATAAACAGGTGCGAAGCTTACAATCAGGCGCACGACTTGTTCGTCACTTGATATTACAAAAAAAAAAGTTATGATAAAGATAGCAGAACTGAGTAAGGTTAATGGGAAAATATATAAGTGAAAAAACAGTAATGTTTTCGTTTCATAGTCGATAGATATTTTGACTACTTTTCTAATCAACTGTATTTAATTATTACAGCAGCGTGGCGGAACATGGTGGACCAAGATTTGGACGATGTTGCCTTTTTGGCAGGTAAGTGTTTATTGTTTACTATTTTTAACCGACTTCAAAAAAGGAAGAGGTTCTCAATTCGACTGTATGTTTTTTTTTGTATGTATGTTACGCGATAACTCCGGTATTTGTGAACCGATTTTCATGATTCTTTTTTTCTTGGAAAGGGGGTACTTCCATAGTGGTCCCATTTCAAATATTATCCACGAAGATTCATTTTTATAAATAGCGCCTAACTTTAATTTAGAAGCAATTACTTTAATGGTTGATTTTGCTATTTCTCCAATTCAAGGCGTTTTTCTCTCAATATACTTTGTGTAGTGTCGTAGTGAGAACCTATTTTTATTATCTCCAGTGTCAAGTCCTGTATAGTGGTGAACTAGGGGATATTTCAATAAAACTTAGCAAATAGACGTAATTCCACGTACTGTTGAGGTCGGTTTTTTAGTACTCTGTACTGAGATTATTTGTGATATTAGTCCACTAGTGTTGTTATAATTATTAGTACAAAGATCGATCACTTAGAAAAAATTCCTTCGATCCGCATTCGAATCGACGTCTCCTAGCAATTCGTGCCAGACACTATCCCAACTAAGCCACGGAACGAACCAGCAGATCTTACGAATCTTAACACTAAATTTGAAAGCCATATTTTCATTAAAAAGTACACTGGGCGTGTCGAGTTCTTAGGTTTTCGCGATTGTTACACATAGGAAATGAAACTATTTTTCCGAAATTAAATCGCGTATATTTGTTTTTTCAAACAAACCGACGTTTCGGGCCCATGGAACCTGTAAAGGGCCCGAAACGTCGGTTTGTTTGAAAAAAACAAATATACGCGATTTAAATCCGGAAAAATAGTTTCATTTCCTACACTGGGCGTGATTATACAAATTGTTGAAATGCGAACGCAAAAGAGCCTACTATTTTCTTTAGAGCAAACAATTTAAAATTACTAATTGCTTCTTTTATTTCATAGGCTCGTCCCTCTTCCTTAGCTCTAATCATCCAAAATGTCAAATTTGCAAATATTGTGTTTGTTATTTAAATTTTCATCAGAAATAATATTGTCTGGGTTCTTTCCATACCCACGCTATTTTTCATTGATGTGCGGTGAAGACACAACACTTCAATATCATAGATTAAGAAATAACAGAGTGTTCTGACTACACAATAACAATAGGGATAATATGAATAAAATAGTTACTATGGTTACCATATAAATTTAAACAATATAAAAAAAGACTAGGCTGCATGGTCTTAAGAGACCCTATCACTCTCGCCACTTTGAAGGCCAACCAGATCGCTAGTCAGTCCCGTCCCGCACGCACAAACCGTCCTCGCCGGCGAGGTCGTAGAGCCCCTCATTTCAGCACGTACACTGGTAGATTCTTTCTTATAGCAAGCCCTTCTGGCGGAAGTCTTCAGAAGCGCCCTGAGCCATTATGCAAATAACCCGGAAATATATGCAAACAACAAGTTAGGTGGGCTGAAGTTCCGATCAAAATTGAAAAAATAAATCACAAAACTGAACGTGACTATGCGTCATTCAGACTTGGAGTTCCTGAAAGTGTTTACGAAAAGTTGAATCAACCAGAATTGTGGCCAGTTAATGTTGAATTTTGTGAGTGGAGTCTGTGCAAAGGTTTATTTGTGCGCTAGATTCTTGTTTCTGTGTTGCGTTGTTTACATACCACCGCGTAGTAGTGAAAACGAATACATGTTATTATTTAAAATGATAGAAAATATGTCTGCCCTGTATAATGAAATATTAGTCGTAGGTGACTTTAATTTATGTTCGAGTACTACAGTAATTAGTAATTATTTTGAATATTTTAGTACGTTTTGTGGATTTACTCAGAGAAATGGGGTAGGTAACTGCGATGATCGTCAACTGGATTTCGTGTTAACCACCCTGGGTGAGGGGGTTAGTGTGTGATATCAGTTTCTGTGGTCGGCTATATCGCAGCGACTTCGGTACAACAAAGCGACATGTTTATTGGCGAACCTCAGTGGAACTTTCGAAAGGCTAATTACTCTTTGTTGTATTACTTGATAGCATTGATAGATTGGAGTCCGTTATACGAATTGGGTGACTTGGAGTCTATTCTATTGTTTTTTTATGATAATATCAGCAAAATTATTAATGAATGTGTTCCTTTAAAAAAGAAAACTAATATGCGCTCAAGGTATGTGTACCCTGAATGGTATACTTCTGGGCTCATACGAGACATAAAACTCAAGGCCGTTCTTCACAAGCAATATAAAAAGAGTAAGTCACGAGTTGACTATGATGAGTTTTCTTTGTGTAGAGCACGGGTCAAAAAGATGATAGATCGGGATCATGATAGTCACAAGGATAGTGTGCAGAAGCATTTGGTGGAGGATTAGGAGGAGGTCGTTTTGGAATTATATCCGATCAAAAAGAGGTAGTCGTAATCCCCAATCTATTTTGAAAGAAGGGGTAATTTTAACAGGGGAACAATGTGCTAAAGAGTTTGCAGAGTATTTCCATTCAGTGTATAATGTAGAGCGAGCACAGCTAGATGTACATAAGGCAATATTAGAGGCGGGCAATATTAGCGCAAGTGGATCAGCAAGAATATACATAGACGAGTTGCAGCTGTCTGATGTAGAGAGGTCGCTGGCAAATCTCAAACCAAAGACATCCGCGGGTCCGGATGGAATTCCAGCTTACATATTTAAGGATTGTCGCAGTGTACTTGCTGAGCCATTGTTATTTGTTTATAATAGGTGTTTGGAATTGGGGGTTTTTCCGGATATATGGAAAGTTACTCGAGTAGTTCCAGTCCCTAAAACTAGTTCGGGTTTATCAATTGAAGACTATAGACCGGTGGCGGTGTTATCCACGCCAGCTAAAGTATTTGAGGCGGCTATACAAAAAAATATATTTGATCAAGCAAAGGAGCAACTGTCTGATGCACAGCACGGTTTCCGTCCGGGTCGAAGTACCACTAGCAACCTTTTGACCTATATGACAGAAATAACACCGGTGATAGATGACAGTAGAGGGCAGGTAGATGTCGCATATATTGATTTCCGTAAGGCTTTTGATGTAGTAGATAATGATATTCTGCTAAGGAAGCTGGCTGGTATTGGTTGTACACCCCGCTTATTGCAATTTTTGGCGAGTTACATGGCGGACCGGCAGCAATACGTTGAATACGCTGGTTACCGTTCACTACCATATTTTGTCAGATCGGGAGTTTATTTTGTCAGAGGAAGCAACCTCGGGCCTCTTCAATTTATTATCATGATTAATGATCTGCCAAATGTTATTAACTATTCCGGATGTCTATTATTCGCGGATGACCTAAAATTGTTCAATTCAGTTAATGATGAGAGGGACTGTGTTCGGCTTCAAAGCGATATAGACAGAGTATACGACATAGAGAGAGGTAGCATGGAGTCAGGAAAATAAGCTGCTATTCAACATCTCCAAGTGTTCAGTAATATCAATTACTAGAGCTCGGAGTCCCATTCATTTTGATTATGAAGTAGAAAAGGTACTTATGAGAAGGGTGGCAGAAATAAAAGACCTAGGCGTATTATTTAGCGTATTTATTTCATAAGCATATAATAACTGTATGTAAAAAAGCATACAGAAATTTGGGATTAATTCTTCGTAGAGTTCACGGGTTTAACAGTATTAGGGCTATCATTACATTATATAATGCCAAGTGCATAAGCAAGAAGCATCCTTGAATGTAATGCGGTAGTTTGGGCTCCGAATGAAGTAAAGTATACTGTGATGCTGGAGCGCATTCAGAATAAATAAGTTTGTATGTATTAATGTATCAATATTACTTAATATATATGTATTCGTATGTACATTTGATTTATTAAATTTATCTGTATATTTATTGAGTATAGTATATTCCATTTCTTTACTTATCTGTTTTTAGTGCCACCCCAAAAACCAACTTTCCTCTCAGATTTTTTCAAAGGTTAGTTGGAAGAAATCTCTTTATGGGATAAGCTCGCCTTTGTACACAAATATTTAAATTGTTTCTGAAAATTTGTAAGTTACTTTGTGGTACAATAAAGTGTTTAAATAAAAATAAATAAATTTGTAAGATACCTGCATCTGAGGCAATACGGTGTTTGCCCCTCCTATTCCCTGATGTACCCGAACGTGTTCATCTTGGGTATGGTGGGGTACAATACGCTAGAAGTGCGCAGAAACTTAGCGTTAGTATAGTATATAGAATATTAGGATTGTGTGTTCCTGATAAGTACGTGGAGCGACGTCGCCGGCCGTCGCTGTTACTGGTGCCACATGGGAGGACCAATCTATTGGCTGAGTGTCCGCTGACGCGCGCGTTGAGGACACTGAATAAAATAGCAAATACGATCGACCTATTCCACTGTTCTCTGAGTGAATTCACGAAGATAGCGCTTTACATATTATGTTATAGTTAGATATAGGTAGTTATAGTTATTGCTGGTCTATTGTATTGGGTATAACCTGTAAAAATAGATTAAGTGTGGAAATAAGTAAACAAATAAATAAATAAATAAAAATAAAAGATATTTGCCTTCCCCAAGGAAAAGTACTTAACATAACATAATATGACCACATCTCTACTTTTCGTCAACTAAATTGGTTTCTAAGAATTTTAACCACCCTTTTTTCTATTTTGTTCGATCCGGTTGCGCCGAGCGGTTTCAATTTAAAACCTCTCGGTCGGGTTGTGAAATTCGATCTTGCCGTAATCTCAAGCTCTCTATTCTTTCTCACCGTACTGATTTTCATGCAATCCGTCTTTGGAACGCGCTCTCGCTAAATCTAAGACAAGCTCAGGCTAAGTTATCTTTCAAGCGCATGTTGCGCAATTATCTCTTTGACAATCTTCTAGATCAAGACTGCATAATATTGCTGTGGGTACTTATATATTATTAATTAATATTATTTTTACTAGATTGTACTATTGTTTATTATATAAGTATATTAAGTATATCGAGTTCTTAGGTTTTCGCGATTGTTACACATAGGAAATGAAACTATTTTTCCGGATTTATATCGCGTATATTTGTTTTTTCAAACAAACCGACGTTTCGGGCCCTTTATAGGTCCTATGGTCACGGTTGACTGAGGTGGTACAGTCTTCAACCAGTTATGTCTAATATTGATGCAAACCACCCTATTTTTTCACTATAGTTACAATAGTTATTAATTAAATAAACCCGTTACTTAAATAGTTATTAATTAAATAAGGCCCGAAATGTCGGTTTGTTTGAAAAAACAAATATACGTGATTTAAATCCGGAAAAATAGTTTCATTTCCTATATATTAAATATGTTTATGCTGTATTATGTTCATTTTATACTGTATAAATTAACCATAAAATTTTGGCTTATGATATTTTTTTCTGTCTTAAGTGTAGCACCGACCTTTAGTTTTTTTTTTCTGTTTGGCAATAACAATTTCAACAATTCGGCTGTATTTTTTTCTTTTTACTTAATTTGTGGGTCTGGGTCAAAGCAAAATGAGATGTATTGTACAACTAGTAGCTACTTTGCCAGGGGCTTTACGTTGATTCCCAAACTATGAATAAATATCACTGGTAAACACTCAATATTATCTGCCTGTCTAGCTCATTCCCAATAGGTACATATAGATTGTCACGTCTGTCCATGGTACCAAGATAATGATACTCTTTGACAAAATGCAACACTAAAACAAAAGACTATCACTATTGATAGTGTCTTGTTTGGAACAGTTTGGAACATGTAGTTGCCGTAAAAGTTCTTATCTATAAATTGGAGTCTTGTTTGGGTCTGAATCATTGACTTACAATTACATGGACGTCGGGTCCGCGCTAAAAAGTGTCCGCACTTGTAAGGCGCTAAAATCGTATACAGAGCGCGACAGTCTTCATTTGTTCTTCTGACAGCGCGATACTGCGATGACATAACAATTTAAATTTCGAATAGGTTGACTTGGGACATTTTTTTCGTGGTTTTTGTATTAGACCCATCGTCCATTTATTTGTAAGTCAATGGTCTGAATCACTTCATATGTATCATCGAGTATATGACCGGAAATAGTGACGATATAAGCCCATCAATCCCTGGCTACTCATGAGGTAAATGGGCCTTATATCACTCCTAAATATCAACTATCGTTTGCGCTGAGATCACAAATTAGAAAGCTGAAATAGTACAGCGCCAACAACTGACCTATGTGTACGTATATTCCAAAAATATTCTGTATTTATTGTAATAAAGATAATATTTCTAACTATGTTCCATTCGGTGGTGTGGAGAAAAACAGCAAAACATCTAATTACAAAACAAACGGAATCAAATTTCATCGGTAATTAAATATTAAATATGTAATTTTGCAATTTTCGTCCATTATAGCAAAGCTCAAGTTAACTGGCCGATTTGAAGTGAGACAATTGACGACACCCGTCAATTGTTTCAAATTCGGGTTGGCCAATAATCGGAGCGCAGTTTGATTTGGCAGAATAGTTTTCAAACAAATTAAATGACATTTCGTCTCTATTTATTACACCAAGTTATTATCTTTACTTGGAAACTGCGGAAAATAATCTAGCCAGACCGAACACACTTCCGCTGCAAAACAAACAAGTGCACTTTAACACGTTTCGTGTTGGCAGCTTGCCTGAAAATCTTGGCTAGAGCTTGTTTAACTTGACACACAGATACAAACACGCTTGAATTTGTTAGTAACAGCTGCAACGTAACATGGTTTATTATGGTATTTGATTTCAGTATTATTTTAAAGGTTGATCATCAAAGAAATAATTGATCTATTGTAATTGTGCACTTTTTTTAAATAACCGATATTTGTTTTATGCATATATTAATTGCTTCATCTATATTAGTTGATCTACGGATAAATTATAAATGAACTGCATTCCAGTTAACACTATTTGTTATAAGAGGAAAAATTCCTAATCTTCGATTTGATTTTACAGGGGTATATCCACTTTAAAGTTAAAAATAAAATATTGTATGAGTAACTACACGATATATTCAAGCATAGACATTAATCAGAAACATAAAACAATAAAGTTTCCTCGATAGATAAAAATCACGAAATGACCTCTAATTTTCACATTTTTTCGATTCATCCTCGAAATGCTACAGGTTATTAGGACAAAAATTAGATAATTAATTATATTTATGCATGATCGACAACTGTCGCTACGGATTTTTTTTAATCCCTTTAGTTTTAGAGTTATTCCGCTAAAACGAATTTGGTACTTTTAATGCACAAAATTCAACATCTCCTGTCGCATGTCACGCGAACTTCAGGCATATATTTGTCTCACAAATGTGGGCGGAGCCAACGTCAAAACTTTTTTGGCATGCTCCCTCTTAAGCATACTAAACTAATATTTAGTATTCAAAAATAATATTTGATCCTCTTTTTCAGTCCTTTCTTTTAACGATTGATGACATTTATAACAAGTATATTATCTTTTGATATTGATCTCTAAGGTTGGTTGGTTGTGCCCTCCATTCAGTAAGTTAAGTTAGGTTAGAACGAAGCGCGCGTGCGGTGGCAGCGGCCGGCGAATGCCAGAAGCCAATTTGCTTGCGTTTCCGAACGTTTTCAGGTCAAATTACATTATAATTAATATAAAATTAGTATTCATATATAATCAACATTTACTTAGTTTTAAAAATAAGTGCCTAAATTTTATTTTTAAAGGTCATTTGCCTTAGTTTAAAGGTCCAACATAAAATCATCAAAGCTAATTTTACATTTTGCGAAGCTCAGAACAGATTAAAATATCCATCCATTTAATTTATTTTATATCTCAGAGAAAGAGGATCGATCATAAAAAAAGATGACCGTTTAGATTATTTTGCCTGCTGCTTTTGTAAATTTAAAATGGTCATTTAAATACATGCTTTATTTTAATATTATAAACTCATACACGGTTTGGAATACTTTAGTCAACGCAAAGACGATGGCTCTCTGTGTGTGTTCTACCGTCCAGAGATTGTAAGGCATGGATTACTCAAGATTTGCTTCATGGGATGATTAAATACAATTATTCATGTTTTCAGACTCTGACAAAGCCCGCGAGGCGCGAGAGCTCCGTGAGGCGCCAGTGGCGGTGTGCTCGCAGCGGAGAGCACTTTGTCTGGCCGCGCTGGTCTTCACTGCCATGTTTTCTACAGCCCTGCTGGTAGTCTACGCTTCCCCACAACCAGGTAAGTAAATAGATTTAGAGAAAAAATCCTGCTTCGCCGCATTTAACACGTTCAGACTGGTTTAACTTGTTGTTGTTGGGATAAATCTTATGTGGCTACCGGTGGTACATCACCGCACCATAAACAATATTTATTTGCTAGGAAAGGCTGCAAAGTTGTTGTTCGACGCTAGTGCTTATTGACCTGAGCAAGCGAATGTTTCTAAGATTGAACTACGAGTGAAGCGACTGGTTCAAAAATAGATCCTGAGTGTAGCGAGGTTTTCAAGCCACGAGACGCTTCTTCGCGAAACTGATTCCATATGCTTATAGCATTGAATAATAATTCTTCAGGTAAATAAGAAATCTGAGTAATATTGGTAACGTTTGATTAAATTCCTAATAGGTACTTAAATTTAAAATGTAAAATGCAATATTTATCGTAGTGTAAATTACGTATTTGTTAGTACAAATTCTTTTCCAGTCTTTGAATCTAGTATATACACTCATATTTTAACAAACTGAGTCATTGTGGACCAATTTCGCAGTGTTTTTAACAATTAACTGGTACAACTTACTCATATTGACGTAGTCTTACTCAATCCCGCGAGTTCGTCGTTGTCATATACCTCGCCTGAATGCCTCAACCACCCTCAACGCTCTCGTTCTTTCATTCATTCGAATTCTAAACAGTGCGACATGAGTGAGGCTGTGACATGAGGCTATGACATGAGATGAGGAGTGAGGTGAGACATTTTTATGACACGAGGTGTTGTGACATTCTTCGCGAATCTTTGCTACCGAGCGAAACACACAACTTTTCACCACATTATAGCGAAGAAAATGGTAGATGAAAGAAAAACAGTTGAACTTAACAGTTTTAATAAACAAAACTAGTTATCGCTGTCAATTTAATGTCAAGGTGATTAATTTAAGAACCTGTGCTCATGTGGTTTTCGTGATGGTACCTCGTTTTGGGACAACGTCGACATGAGCCATTTGTCACCTCCTCACATCTCGTCACATCATTTATTAGAAGTGATAATAAGATTAATAAATCGTATTCTTATTTTCCCAAACTCGTGTCTTAAAGCACAAAGAAATGCGAAATTAGAAAATAAGACAATATAAATATATAAGATATTATTGTTATTATTCTAAATTTGTAAGATAATTAAATTTTTATTGAATTGATATTCAATTATTTTTTGTGAAATTACTCCACTAGTTTGTTATAATTATTAATACAAATATCCCTCGCCAGGACTGGTAGCTGTAAAGGTACTAACTGGGTGATAAATCTGTCATAGATTTCTCATAGATGGCGCTACGACTAAAAAGTCGTTGAAAGACCAAGTACAAGGACACGACGCAAGCACATAGAAAAATTCGTGAGGTCCGTTGGTTCGTTCTGTGGCTTAGTTGGTATAGCGTCTGGCACGGTATGCAAGAAGACGTCGGTTCGAATCCGACCGGATCGAAGGAATTTTTTCTCAGTGTTTTTTCTGAGTGTTCGATCTTTGTATTAATAATTATATATAAGATAATATAAAAATAAATTTAAAATAAATATAAAGTTTTGCTATCTCCTGAATAATCACTCTTTACAAGATACGAGTTTGAGAACGTAAGGCATCGAAATGTTGATCTGTACCTTTAACAGCATATTCCACTATATTTGAAAAGAATAAAAACAAGCCAATTCGGGGGATATTGATAGTGTTATTATTGAAAATACAATCACTATATCTAGTCGTAAATACTAGCTTTACATCACTGTTGGTCTTACGCCCAAGTTTCATAGAAATTTGCCCATCATTTTTGAGCTAAATTTTAGGACCCAAGTTGGGCGCCAATCTCACACGTGTGTTGATTCTGTAATTGAGAAATTGTTACAGATTGTCCGTGTGCTGGTGAGAATTCGCTGATTCCAGGACGACCACCGACTGATTCTGCTGACGCAGGCGCAGCTAACAAGTAATAATTGAACCTTTTTTTGATTGTGTAGCGCAGCGTAAAAGCGTTCAGTGTTAGTTCAATTTAAAATGGTAACTAAGCTATCGAATTAAGAGCAGAGTTAAGCGAAGACTCCGTCGCGAATGAAGCTAGCTAGATGAGCTTACGTAGTTGCACGCAAACAACTATGCCAGCTCAGCTAACTTAGCTAGCTTAGGTCACGTTACTGCAGTGTTGCAGCTACTTTGAAACCTCTCACTCGGCTCGTTTTATTAACTTAGTGCGCGGTCCAGTTTAGTATAACTACAAGTCCGTGGGAATTACATACTAAATCATACGGAAGAAATAGACAGATATATTATCCTGGGAGCGTTCATGCACTTTTAACCGATTGTGTTCAAAATAGGAATAATATAGTTTTTTAATAATTTTATTATTGAATATACTAATTACGTTGTTTTGTAACATCGGCAACTTTTCAATTATATTTTACAATTTGTCGTACGACAAAATTAAAATCATTGAAATGAATAAGGTGAGTTTGTAATTTGATAACATAATTGGAAAGTATCTTGTATTCGTACATTTTCATTGATTGCACTATAGTCAAATTTGGCACTATTTAAAGTTAGTTTACGATTTTCGCTAATTCCATAAAATTATTAAAATGATTAATTAAAAAATTGCAATAACATTCATGCCAATAATTTTAAGATTGGAAATTCAAACTAAAGTAATAGTTGATAGTATTTATTTATTGATAATTGGATACATAGCCTAATAATCTCAGTACAGAGTACTAAAAAAACCGACCTCAAAAGTACGTGGAATTACGTCTATTTGCTAAGTTTCATTGAAATATCCCCTAGTTCGCCACTATACAGGACTTGACACTGGAGATAATAAAAATAGGTTCTCACTACGACACTACTCAAAGTATATCGAGAGAAAAACGCCTTGAATTGGAGAAATAGCAAAATCAACTAAATAATTGCTAAAAGTAATTGCTCCTAAATTAAAGTTAGGCGCTGTTAATAAAAATGTCTCTTCATGCGTGAACAGCCACCCTTTGAGGTGGATGATTTTCTTCAAAATGAAATGGGACCACTATGGAAGTACCCCCTTTCCAACAAAAAAATAATCATGAAAATCGGTTCACAAATACCGGAGTTATCGCGTAACATACATACAAAAAAAAAACAAAAAAAACATACAGTCGAATTGAGAACCTCCTCCTTTTTTGAAGTCGGTTAAAAAGATAACAAATTATTATGAAACTGAAAATGTAACAAAACTTAAATCAACTATTGTTCCCATTACAAATGTCAACAGTTTTCGATCTGCCAGTTGTGAATTGCAATTATGCGCCTCGACTCGGAAGAGACGCAGTTTCCGATCGGGAGAGGCAATCAAAATCAAGCTGCTGGTCTCTTTATGAAATAGACAGTCGCCGGTTGCGGCAATCTGACTCCGGTAGATAGAAAGAAAGAAAGAAAGAAAGAAATGTAATTTATTCAGCACAATACACGTGGAGTACAATATTAATAATTAGTATTAAAAGTGTATTATTGCACTGAAAAGGATCCAACTCAGCTAATACTGCGGCAGGGCCACAGCGCTGGTTTTCAGTGGACCCTTTTCGAAAATGCCGATTAAAAGAAATAAAAATATATTAATAAAATAAAAACAAACGTGGACGCGAGTTAAATAAAAACTTAAAAATGAAACAATATAATTAAATAGGAAACATAACACAAATTTCAGCTAATCTCCCAACAAAGATTCACTCTGCTTTTTCTTTTTAATTTTGTATTTTGAGGCGCATTACACAAATAAAATTGTTCCAGACGTGTTTTGTAGATTTAGAATGTGCTCTTTGAGTTGACATTTGAACGCATAAACGGATAGACTCTTAATCACTAATAAGTATTGTTCCAGGGAGCGCATAGCAACAAACGGGGCAATATTCCCTTGGCGCGGCGCTCGGCTACCGACTATAATCATACCCAAACACTACAGTTTGTGGTTACATCCTAATTTGACAACTGGTGATCTTAGAGGTTAGTCTTATTTCAAAACAGTTACTAAGTTCCGTATTCGTATCATATGAGTATAAAAAAAATACTCCACTAGTTTGTCACAATTATTAATACAGAGATCATCGAGTATATAACCAGATATAGAGACGAAATAAGGGCCATATATTCCTGGTAACACATTAGCGATACAGCTCTTATAAATATCAACTCTCGTTTGCACTAATATACAGGGTGTTGATTTGCATTCTCGCCATATTTAAAAAATTAATAATATAAATAATGCTAAATCATCTAAAAATATTTTTAAAATATTCTGTTCAATATTCTGGCTAATTGTATCGAGTAAAGTTTTGAAAAATTGTCCCGCAAGTGTACTCACCGCAGAGGACAGTGACCCCGCCACTCGCTTCACCGAGCGATACGGAATCTTTCTCGTTCGCTTATTTACCCATTTTTAAATCATGTTTATGTACTAGTATTGTTATAATTTACTATTATTTACATGAGTTAGAAAAGTTGACTGAAAAAAGATTTATTGTAATTTAGGTTTGGTACTTACCAACTTTAGGTTACATGAAAGTAGTGTTAGAAGTACCTAGCTCCACAGCTGGTGGCAGGCTCCGTGTTGCAGCCACAAATATGCAAAGTTTCGTTTCAACTTAGCACATTCTTCACAACAGAAAAAGCAGAAAGAAACCAAAGACGATTTTTGCCCGCAATTTTTCGACACTCGTAATCTGCGTAAACTAAATGTTTCACATCATGCCATAAGAACACATTTTATGGTAATGCACATGGTAGCGGTTATTTTTGCACTAACTCTTGTTTACATCACACACAAACCACGTTGAATTTCGTGAGAAACTAGAATGTATGCGCGATGAACGCAGACGCAGTACGCAAGGTGGACTGATGATCTACCAATCACGCGCTCGATACGATTCACCCCCCGTCTCTACTCGTACCCTGCCGCCAAATAGAACTAAAATGCATGTTTTCTGCGCATACTGCGCATAGGACCATTGTGCAAATGGTTGCCGGTACCTGTGTCACGTGTAGTGCAAGTCAATGACCTTTGGATCAAGCTTGGTTACCGCAATTAAATAAAAATTTAGGATCTTTTTTTTATTTATTTTTTTAGTGATTTGGGTTCAGTTCCGGATATAGAATGACCTCTGTAAATATGGCAAGAATGCAAATCAACACATTGTATAGACAGGCCAACTACTGACCTGTGTGTACGTCTCCGTATATTCCAAAAAATATTCTGTATTTATTGTAATAAAGATAATATCTCTAACAATGCCGTGCTGTTCCATTCAGTGGTGTGGGAAAAACAGCAAAACATCTAATTACAAAACAAACGGAATCACATTTCATCGGTAATTAAATATTAAATATGTAATTTTGCAATTTTCGTCCATTATAGCAAAGCTCAAGTTAACTGGTCGATTTGAAGTGAAACAGTTGACGACACCCATTGACGACACCCGTCAATTGTTTCGAACTCGGGCTAGCCAATCAGAGCGCAGTTGTCACAGTAATAATATGGCAGAATAGTTTTCAAACAAATTAAATGACATTTCGTCTCTATTTCTGGTTATATACTCGATGACAGAGATGGAACACGAAGAAAAATTTCTTTAATCTGATAGAATTTGAAACTGAATTTGTATGCTATGTGTCAGATCCAAGGAATTTTTCAATAAAATCAATATTACAATTCATAAAGCGACATCTCTTGTCAGCATCTGGGAACTAGATTTGTAACAAATGGCGCAACGACAAAAGAAGCCGCTACAAACCAAAAACAAACATCTCGACTCATCCGAAGAACAGAGTCCGATGTGATTATACAACGAAAAGAGGATAAATACATAATCTCGTTATTCAAAATAACACCTAGCTCTAGGTGTTTTAAGAATTTTATGTATTATTTCGTTTCCATAAAATCCAACAACGGTCGATCTGATATCCACAGTTAAGAACAGCGCGCGAAATGTACAATGACCTGAGAATAAGCAATTTTGCACATAGGTCTTTGTTCTACGGAAGAGTCCATCTATTACAAGCGTATGGAGAAATTTTAAAAGAAAGCTACCGGGAAATGACGCGACGAAACCACACGGCGGTGACTTTATTCAGTCACCAGACTAAGGAAAGGACCACGACCTAGTATACAGGCTGTTATCAGCGTAGATTTATAAAAAATTGTTGTTACAGGTGAAGTGTCAATAGACTTCAAAGTAGACCGTGAAACTTCGTTCGTAGTACTCAACGTGAGGGATCTGAACGTGACAGAGCGAGCCCTGTTCAAGAGCGGCGGTTCCTTGGGGCCGAAAGTCGCTAAGGTTTTAGACTACCCGCCGGCAGATCAGACTTATATTGAGTTTAAGGTGAGATAAGGTATTTCTTATACAATGCTGCAAAGTTGTTGTTTGAGCGAGTGCTTGTATTAAAACCTGAGCAAGGAAATGAAGAAATGGATTTCAACATTTTTCAGACGCAAAACAACTTTGTCGCCGAGCGAAACTCGTAACTTTTCACTTCACCATAGCGAAAAAAATGGTAGATAAAAGAAAAACAGTGAACTTATAACAAATCGGTTTTAATAAACAAAATTACTTAGTTATCGTTGTCAATTTACAATATAAATAATGTACGATAAATCGCGTAGTTGAACGTGACATTATGTTTTTTTTACATCGAAAGCAAAAGTTAGGTGCACCACAGTCAAGTTTGAATATCAAAAACCTTTTCCACGGTAGCGTGGAAAAAAACGCTTTTGCGCGCAGGTTTCTAATAAGAGCTAGTGAGGTGAAAAATAAATTTTTAGGTAAGATTTAAGACGAGTTACTGTTTTACTAGGTCAAATGTGCTAGATATTTACTAATAAATAACTGTCTTACAAAAATATACGATATACCTAAAGATATTGTCTAAAAATTTGTTACACGACAGGATGTACTTTACCAGATCATATAAAATTAATATTACTTACTAGATGCAATGTAAAATACCTATACAATTGAAAACAAGATTCATCAAAACCTTTGTCTGGAGCACCGCACTGTATGGATGCGAGACATGGGCAATAACATTGGTGCTGGAGGCGAATGGAAAAACTAAAATGGATTGAAAAGGGGGTATTCACCAATTACTTGTCCGGTTGTTGATTAGTGATATACGGGTAAGCGACCCTGGCGCCCCGAGCTACAGTTGTCACATCCCCCATCTTCCGTGACAACAGTGTCCTCCTATAACCCAATTCCTACCCAAATCTTTCCATCCATTCCCTTCACTTATTCACTTTATTTTATTCTCTTCCCGCCAATCTAAGGTCGGTCGTGCCGATGGATGCGTGGCCAGAGGCAAGTCTGGTCGTAAGCGTGCCGTTTTGCACCGGGTTTGGCGCCCTCAGAGTGCTAGTAACCTTGTCCCGGTATGCGGGACTCTATCAGGATGTACTTCAGTTTTCCCTTGCTGTTCGTGGAATACCAATGACTTCAAAAATTAATAAAAATCTAAATGACGGCGATGCAGTTCGCACCCCATCACGCCATGTCTCACGAAAGGACGAAAAGCGGGCTGAGGAAAGCTGCTTTGCTACGCTGAATGTGAGAGGAGGGATGGATAGTGAAATTGATTAAGTATGTGAGATAATGGATGATAGATACATAGATGTTCTGTGTAAGTGAAACGAAACAATAAGTAACAGCAATAAGTAGGGGCTGTCAAGGCATGGTTCTGTCCGCTAGAATCGAGAATGTAAGATCGAGTATAAATTTGTAAACTCAAGACTTCTCTGGATGCGATTAAAAATTGGATTGTCTCGACCTTTTGTAATCGGGGCTTATGCCCCAGATATGGGATTGAGAAAATGATGAGTTTTGGAATAGCGTGAGAGACGTTTTACGGAAGGTGAAGCAGAATGAAAGACTTATTATGTTAGGTGATTTTAATGGATGGGTAGGAGTGAAACGTGATGGATATTAAAGTGTTGTAGGTAGTTTTGGTGATAGTAGGGTGAAAGAAAATGGCGTAAGTGTTTTAGAGATATGTTTGGAGTGGAAGCTTTTCGTGACAAACACAATGTTTTGTCACAAAAAGATCCACACGTATACTTGGCAGAAGGAAAATGCTGTAAGTATGATTGATTTTGTAATTGTGGATGATAGGCTCAAAAATAAAGTTGTAGACACACGAGCATACCGTGGTGGTGCTGTAGACACAGGCCACTTCTTGGTAGTAAGCCAGTTAAGAGGTCTTTTCAAACGTCGGCGACACCGCGTGAAGCCGCCTACAACAGCCATAGAAAGAATAAAGGTGGAAAGACTGCAAGAAGAAAGAGTAAATGATGAATATAAGAAGAAGTTAAGACATAGATTCGATAAATCGGAGGTGAGTTGTGGTAGTGGGAATGAAATTGAAGAGTTGTGGAATTTGATAAAAGAAACTGTGACGAATGTGGCGAGGTGTGTGGTGTATCTAAGAGGAAGAAAGGGTGTCAAAACAAGAATACATGATTTGATTGTCGACATATTAATTTTTTCTCTCATCATGTGTTCTGTCTGACGCCATTTTTGCTGTTTTATTATGTGTGTGATTTTTTTAGTCTTTGATTTGCTTTTAATTGTGGTCAGTTTAACTTTATCTTCCAATTTTATGTCGAGCACACTTCTTTCCATACTATACTAATATCGTATACTTAATAGTCAATTCTTAATTGTACACAGGAAAAACTACGTAGGAAATACAACTACACTCTGAGTTTGAGATTTATCACAAAACTGGACCGAAGCGATAAGCAACGTGGGTTCTTTCTTGCGGGAAGCCATAGGAAGTAAGTATGATCTACTTTTTGACGACCTCAACTCGACGACGGGTCTATGCAGAAAACTCTTCTATACTTCTATATTGTCTCGGGTTTGTCGTTGTTTCTTTGCATAACACAAGTTCTTTAGCTACTTACTTTGATAATCAGAGCAACACATGAATGAAATATTTTTTATTGCACATTAAAAATTGCAATGACAAAACAGAACAGTACTGTAAGTATCACAGAGTATATATAGTACTTATTGCTAAGTAGCAATTTCTTCCAGGCAACCTTAGGATAGAAATTTAACAGTTGGAATAGGGGGTGCAACCAAGAGAATATCTTGTAATGAAAGTGGTTATAAATAAATCGACTCATCCGAAGAACAGGGTCAGATGTGATTATATAGCGAAAAGAGAATAAGTACGTTAGGAGAATAATTTCCTTATTCAAACTAAGGCTTACGTAAAGGTGTTTTGTGAATTTATATATCTTATTTCATTTCGGAAATATAAAATCGAACAACGGTTTATCTGACATCCACAGCCAAGCGAAGAAAATTTATCGCCTTCGGAACCTTACACAGATATGATGTGTTTTTACAGTCGTTGTGCAGTATCCCGCTTCTGGCTGACGCACGCTCGTTCCGCCTTTCCGTGTCTCGATGAACCCAACTTCAGAGCCACCTTTCGGTTAACAATCGTTCGTGATAGGTAAGATTTAAAAATTCGTATTCGTATTATCTTAGACGAAGCGAAAGCGAGTGTCTTGCGTTGGAAAGTAGCAGTAGAGGTCCTTATGAAAGAGCTCGTCCAGGGAAGTAATGCCAGCTTTACTGAGTTCCGGTTTTTAAGGGTTAAGGGTGCTGGTGAAATTACAGGCATATGGGACTTGTCAACTTATGTCTCAGGGTGATAGGCACAGTGGCAGTGCCCCGGAGATCTTTCCGATTTAAATGTTTGTGTGGTATAGCAACCGTTAAGGATAGGCCTGTCGCTTACCACCAGGCGCACGACTTGTTCGTCCCGTCACTAGAAGCGAACATTCTATTTTCATACAGAAAGTTGACGCGGCGCCATAATCTACATCAACAACATCAATCCATTTTTACGTCCGATTGCTGGATTTCCTCTCTCTCTCTCTTTCTCCACGCGGTTGTTAGTATTGAAAATAACCCAGTAGTCTTTTTATCTATAGTTTGCCTAAATACTTAATTGTTTTTGCAGATTCCACGTTTCATTGACAAATATGCCGATTGTGGCTACAGAAGAAGCTGGATTCTACTTAGGACATCGACTGGTAAGCGTATTTTTTTTATCGACTTTGTTTATGAATACTTGACGTGGCACAGCTCTAGTTCTTAAGCAGAACCATACACGGTGAATTAAAATTGAAATATATACATTTATTAGGTTAGTAAATGACATCTGAAATCAATACATTGTTAGTACTTGTTCGTAAGACAGATTCCCCTGAGAAGAATGAATAAGAAATTCTAGGGGGTTGCTTTTTGTAAATAAACATTTGTATACATTTTATAATATGATTTCAATGAATTAGTCCGTCAGTTAATTTAGCCGGCTATCGTTATTCTGGCTGCCGTTAAAAAACGTCTCAACGATTGGAATTAATTAAGGCGGCGCTAAAATCATTAGACTATGCATGCATTAATATTTTCGTTTAATATGGATAGATTTCGTATCCTTGGTATCCCAACAGAACATATACAATATTCTATACTATATATTCCAATAACAGGGAAACACCGCGTTCTTATATGACATCATCCGTATAATAACTGTTGTTAAAAATGATAATAACCAAGGAATAGAAATAAACTTTTTATCTTAAATTTTTATTGAATTGATATTCAATAATTTTTTTGTGATTTACTCCACTAGTTTGTTAAAATTATTAATACAAAGATCGAACACGCAGAAAAAATTCCGATCCGGCCGGATTGGAACCGACGTCTTCTAGCTTTCCGTGCCAGACGCTATACCAACTAAGCCACGGAATGAACCAGCGGACCTCACAAATTTTTGTATGTGCTTGTGTCGTGTCTTTGTATTTGTTTTTTTCAACGACTTTTTAGTCGTAGCGCCATCTATGAAACATCTGTGAAAGATTTATCACCCAGTTAGTACCTTTACAGCTACCAGTCCTGGCGAGAGATGTCGCTATTCGCTGTATTTTTTTTCTGCGTGTTCGATCTTTGTATTAATAATTTTAACAAACTTTTTATCTTTAAAATTGAAATGGTAGTCACTGAAACATAGTATGTATCGCTAATTTTGCTTGAGTCGGTTATGCATGGGATTACAAATACCTATTTCAATAAAATTAATTTAATTATGATGGCTTTTCATAAAGGGTGCGGCTTATGAATTATTTATGTCGAATAACTGGCACGTCATGCAATCGGTGTCGCGGTGTTCTGGTAGTAGCAAAGTCTTTATTATTACCACTAGTTACACTATGGGTACTTTTTGTTGTTCACCCTATATTTTACGGTGGTTACATGCTCCATGGTCTCGGGTAATCGTTTAGAGAGTAATCACGTAAGTCTTAAGTTGTAGGTGCAATATTGCGTAAAATCACAATAAAAAAGTTTTTAAATGTCTTTCTTTGCAGCTGCAAGACGAATTCGCTCTCTCTCCACCAATGGCACCGCACATGATGGCAGTAGCGGTCTGCCGTTTGCAACGCCGCGCCGCCCCTCAACTCCCTACCGAGCCCCCCACTGAAGTCCCTCCAAGCCCCTCTCCAGTCCCCACGCAAGCTCTCTCCACATTGAGCGACGTAGATGACGACGATTACAATCTGCCTCCGCCAGAAATCAGTCTTTATAGCGACCAACAAGTTATTTTAGACGAATCTGGGTAAGTTAACTTATTTATAGCATGCAAAATTAATTGTTCTATGTATTCGTTTACACTGTAATATTTAAGAAATGAAACTATTTTTCCGGATTTAAATCGTGTATATTTGTTTTTTCAAACAAACCAACGTTTCCGGCCCTTTACACCCTGTAAAAGGCCCGACAAGTGGTTTGTTTGAAAAACAAAAATACGCGTTTTAAATCCGGAAAAATAGTTTCATTTCCCATGTGTAATAATCGCGAAAACCTAAGAACTACAATAATATTTATTAATAATTAAATATTTGTCAAATTCAATTGTCATTTTTTAAATGTCAGGATTTTAATTTCATTTGGCAGTTTCTTATATAATTTCATGCATAAGTCGTAGGAGCTTTTTAAGTAAAGTGTAGTTTTGGGTACATTTTCAGAAACAAGTCTGTTTGGGTTTCTTTTCGCCCTTGCATCTAATCTTTTTATCTAAATTATATTTTTTTACAGCCCTCTGCTGGAATGGGTTCAAAAAACAATTCAGCTATTCGCGTACGAACTCAATACTTCCTACCCTCTTCCGAAGTTGGACCTCGTCGTTGTGGAAGGGGGAGCTCCCTACGCCGAGGGCTGGGGGCTAATCTCTCTAGCCCCCTCTACGTTGACCGACACTAAAACGATCGCACGGTTACTTGCACAACAGGTAATTTTTTTTAAATATTGAATTAATATAACTCAGATGACAGACCATCATCGAGTATAACCATACTCGATGGTTGTCTATTCTGACACTATTCTGAAATTTACTCTGCCATATCATTACTGTGACAACTGCGTTCCGATTGGTTAGCCCGAGTTCGAAACAATTGACCGGTGTCGTCAATTGTTTCACTCCAAATCTTTGCTATAATGGACGAAAATTGCAAAATTACATATTTGGTTATCGATGAAATTTGATTACATTTGTTTTGTAATTAGATGTTTTGCTGTTTTTCCCACACCACCGAATGGAACAGCACGCCATTGTTAGAGATATTATCGTTATTATACAATAAAAACAGAATATTTTTGGAATATACGGAGACGTACACACAGGTCAGTATTTGGAACTGTTTATACTTCAGTGCAAACGAGAGTTGATATTTATAAGTGATGTATCACTGATGAGTGACCAGGAACGTATGGCCCTCATTTCGTCTCTATTTCTGGTTATATACCCGATGCAGACAACTAATGTTGTTTGTTATAATTATAAATACAAAGATCGAACACTCAGAAAAAATTCCTTCGGCCCGGCCGAATTCAAACCGACGTCTCCTAGCAAACTGTGCCAGACGCTACGCCAACTAAGCACGGTTTGCTAGCAGACGTTGGTTTGGTCTTTGTATTAATAGTTATAACAAACTAGTGGAGTAATTTCACAAAAAAAAATTGAATTGACATTTAATAAAATGTTTACTAATTATCACTCTGTTGTACTATTTAAATTCAAAGCATTCACAAAAAATAAAAAAACATAATACAAATACATAGAAATTTACATACATATGCAATTTGTGAGATGATATACTATGTTATAATAATAATAACACGCACAACATAACTCCGCACTAGGGAGACCCTGTGCCTCCCGGCCCGGGAACCGAATCTGGGACCTCAGCGTGGCAGTCCGCCATGGTAACCGTTCGGCCTCGGAGGCAGTTAGTTAGTTGTCATGTGCGATGTACAATTGGTTATAAAACTCAGTGTTGCCAGTAGCTTGAATCGAAAAATAGGTTTAGTTACATTTTCACAAATTAAATGGAACCAATACTGAAGAACCCTCTTTTCAACAAGGCGGAGCAATCGTGTAACGTCGAATTGAGATTTGCATGATTGGCTTAATTGATTATAGTATTTTGTAAATGTTTGCAGTGGTTCGGTGGCCTGGTCTCCCCACGTTGGTGGTCTGCGCAGTGGCTGATGGAGGCCCTGACCTCAGTGCTGGGTGAAAAGGCCACTCCCCTTCGTGACGGTGGTGAACGACAACAGGACGCTTTGTTATTGGATCATGTGCTACCGGCGCTTAGGTGAGGAGTACTTAGTATCGCGTCATGGGAAAAATCTCCATTAGGAAAAACAAATATTTTTCCAGATTTTTTCCAATACTTTTCAACATTTGACGTTGACACATGTCAAAAGTTGAAGCTATTGAACGAGAACAATGGAGCCACTTTGAATTATTTTTTCGGTGTTATCCAATTATTTTAAATCTCGTTTTTCTAACTTGCTAAACTAAAAAAAAACTTCAAATGATATTTCTAGATGAAGAATAAGAATATGAGCCTTTGAATTATATTTTTCAATTTTTCAGAAATTTTTTCGGAAAAAATGTTCACTATTTGAAATTTTTCGGAAAATTACCCCACAGTAGTCTTACACTATATGACTTTTATTTTTTACAGACTGGATTCCAGTAACTCAGTTCGTGCTGTAGCCTCCCCAAGACTCGAGAGAGCTGATATAGAGGGCGCTGCTGATGAGCTATCGTTGCATAAGGTTCATTCCCATTTTGTTATTAACAAGAGACACAATGTTAAGCGACGATGAGACCGACGACGTTTTTTCGTTAGTCTGAAAAAACTCTATACATTCTAGTAATAATAGTTTTCGGAAACACGGATGCCGTGTAAATACTACGGCAATGGAAAATTCCATTCCTTTGCCATAAGCATGTAGGAGGGCGCAAGGTAGTATAAGGGAGGTTAGTCCAAAACCGGGTATGCGGGTAAAGTTGGGACACAACACTAAAACCTCCTGCAAACTTAGCAGTAGTGGAGCTCCTTGTGAAAGAGATGTCATTTAATTTGTTTGAAAACTATTCTGCCAAATCATTACGGTGACAACTGCGCTCCGATTGGCCAGCCCGAATTCTAAACAATTGACGGGTTTCGTCAATTGATTTATTTCAAATCGACCAGTTAACTTAAGCTTTGCTATAATGGACGAAAATTGCAAAATTACATATTTAATATTTAATTACCGATGAAATGTGATTCCGTTTGTTTTGTAATTAGATGTATTGCTGTTTTTCCACACACCACCGAATGGAACAGCACGGCATTGTTAGAGATATTATCTTTATTAAAATAAATACATAATATTTTTGGAATATACGGAGACGTACACACAGGTAATTTCAATGCAAACGAGAGTTGATATTTATAAGTGATGTATCACTGATGAGTGACCAGGGATATATGGCCCTTATTTCGTTTCTATTTCTGGTTATATACTCGATGCAGACAACTAATATATGTAGTTTGTTATAATTTATAAATACAAAGATCGACCACTCTTCCGTCCGGCCGGATTCGAACCGACGTCTCCTAGCAAACTGTGCCAGACGCTACGCCAACTAAGCACGGTTAGCTAGGAGACGTCGGTTCGGTCTTTAGTTATAACAAACTAGTGGAGTAATTTCACAAAAAATAATTAAACTGACGTTCAATAAAAATTTTACTAATTATCTCTCTGTTGTACGATTTAATTTCAAAGCATTCACAAAAAAAATAATACAAATAAATAGAAATTTAAATACGTGTAATCATTGACTTACAATTATATGGAAGTCGGGTCCGCGCTAAAAAGTGTCCGAACTTATAGGGCGTTAAAATCGTATACAGAGCGTCATTCACGCTGTTCGACTGACAGAGAAGCAAGCAAAATTAGACAGTACTGCGATGACATTACAATTTAAATTCAACGTTTTAGCTTTTTCATATTCCTTGACATGTCACTAAGTTTAAATAGGTTGACTTGGGACATTTTTTTCGTGGTTTTTGTATTAGACCCGTCGTCCATTTATTTGTAAGTCAATGCGTATAATGCAATTAATGAGATAATACTATGTTATTAGGATTTTCCGATTCAATGCACCGAGTGGCATTGCAACTGTTAAAAACACCCGCTAAATGCAAGCAGAGCAAGACCGGTCATTGTACCGATCTTTAAAAGATGTCAATATGAAGCTTTTTTCGCATCATTCATCTTTTTATTGGGTCGATTATTACTTATTTGACAGTAATTGTAAGGAACAGATGTCCGATGGAGAAGGGGTAGACCCCTGATGTGGAAAAATATAGAATAGAATAGACATTTATTGTAACGCCACAACACGGATACAAAAAAAACGATAACACAAACAAGGAAAACATAATTAAAGAAATAATAATTAATTAATTAATAAACAAAATTAAAAAAAACAAATCGAGTTCTTAGGTTTTCGCGATTGTTACACATAGGAAATGAAACTATTTTTCCGGATTTAAATCGCGTATATCCCGGTTGGAGTCAACCGTGACCATGGGACCTGTAAAGGGCCCGAAACGTCGGTTTGTTTGAAAAAACAAAAATACACGCGATTTAAATCCGGAAAAATAGTTTCATTTCCTATTAAAAAAAACAACATTAAATAAGTCAAATCTGACAAAAAACAAATAATAATGACTACAAATTTTGTACTGTCATTTGTGTGGTTGTGACGTAAGCAAAAGGACTTCATTCAGCATAAGCAACAGCCATAATTGACTGTAGAGCTTGTTTTCAATGAGCCCTGAGCCGAGATGAGTGGCCGAGATATAGGCATTTGTGGTCATTTCCAATGTTAACTCCAAATCTTTACCTATCCCTTGATATGATAATCAATGCAATATGTAATGCAGGGAGCAGCAATAGTGAGTATGGCGATTGAAGCAGCAGGGGAAGCGGCTGGACGGGCGGCGTTGGCAAGACTCTTGAAGGACCACCGATCCGCTAGTGCTGACGCGAGGTAACTATGTTACTATCGCATATTTTCCCCTGTCGTTTTCTTCTTAAAGTAAACCAACAAGTTGTGACGTCGTAAGAATTTCACATAAGTCCATTGACTTACAATTATATGGACGTCGGGTCCGCGCTAAAAAGTGTCCGAACTTATAGGGCGTTAAAATCGTATATAGAGCGTCATTCACGCTCTAGTCTTCGTTTGTTCGACTGACAGCGAAGCAAGCAAAATTAGACAGTACTGCGATGACATTACAATTTAAATTCAACGTTTTAGCTTTTTCATATTCCTTGACATGTCACTACGTTTTGGTTTGGGTAAATAGGTTGGCTTGGGACATTTTTTTCGTGGTTTTTGTATTAGACCCGTCGTCCATTTATTTGTAAGTCAATGCATAAGTCCCATTATTCTTTCATATGGGGCAACCAAAGTTATAGAGCTATAGAGCTCTTTGGAAAAGAGTTCGTCCTTTGAAGTACTGCCGCCAAGCAGACTAACATTACAGCGTTCTGGTTTTAAAGGGTAAGGGTGCTGGTGAAATTACAGGCACATGGGACTTGTCAACTCATGTCTTAGGGTGACGGCGCAGTGGCAGTGTCCCTAAGATCTTTGCGATTTAAAAGTCTGCGTGGTACTGCAACTGGTGTTTCGCTTACCACAAGGCGTACGACGTGTTCGCCCTATTACTTGGTATTTAAAAATAAACTCCCTTCGCTTCAGCATAGGGCTGTTCCACCTGTCCGCAATAATGTTCAGGATCTCGTTCGAGCTGGCGCGCAGTCTGCTTCTAACCGAAGCGAGATGCTTCGCATGATGGCATGGAAAATATTAGTTCGCGCTTCGGTGAACATGACAGAGTGTGACGGTGCGACCTCCTTTCACCGCCATTTCACCTCTTTGTATCGCCTCTCTCCTCTTGTATCTTATCATTTTTTTAATTTGACTTGTATTTAAATTTTAAATTTGAATTGTTCCATCTTCCTTCACTTTCTCATTTTGTTTTCGTACCACGGTCACTCCCAGCTCGACCGCCACAACAGTCAGAGCTGTTAATAAGCTAATCATGTGTAATAATTTATAATTCTACACCCTTCATGTATCTATTTCTGTAATTCAGTTTCTCGGCCCATTTAGTGGTAAGTGCCTTAATAATAAAAAGTGTAGGGAGTGTTTTATACTGTTATACCTGTTTTTTTACATTTATCTTTATATTGTTACAGCCTTTCTTTAAACTTTACTTCTTTAATAAATTTTGTGGACCGGAAGTTTCCCATTTCATTGCCGTGAACCTGTTCGCGGCTAGTTAGGGTTACAACCCTTTCAAGAGGTGCTCCAGAAATGCTACAACCCCGATAAGATCCTAAAAGCATTACTATATTGTATACGTAGACAATTGTAGTACTGCGAGTAAATGGCCCATATGCTACAAGTGTAAAAAGATTGACAATATGCTGTAAACAGCGTCAAAGAACAAAAAGTAAGAGATTGGACAATCAGCCCCTCCCTAGCTTTGGATACTGCGCCACGCCCCGCACATTGACGGTCACATTGACTGAACGACAACAGGGCTGTCGGCGAGCCGTTTTCGCGCTAAGCCGGCTATAGTTTTTGAATATAGTTTTCATTTATTCATTACATTGACTTACAAATAAATGGACGACGGGTCTAATACAAAAACCACGAAAAAAATGTCTTAAGTCAACCTATTTAAACGTAGTGACATCTATAGGAATATGAAAAAGCTAAAACGTTGAATTTAAATTGTAATGTCATCGCAGTACTGTCTAATTTTGCTTGCTTCGCTGTCAGTCGAACAAACGAAGACTAAAGCGTGAATGACGCTCTGTATAGGATTTTAACGCCCTATAAGTTCGGACACTTTTTAGCGCGGACCCGACGTCCATATAATTGTAAGTCAATGATTAATTACGAACATTTTTATTCATAATTAAGGAATAATAAAGTCGGACATGCAATTTCAAATACCTTAACGCACACACTCATCATAGCCCTGCACTAGGGAAACCCTGTGTGTGTTGCCACCAGGTGTACGATATGTTTGTACTGTCATTTGATAATCAATATGTAAATATATGTCCTTCCTGACAGGGACCTGTGGCGTGCCCTGCAGCGGGACGGTTCGGGCGAGGCACCGGCACAGGCTTGGGATGGGTGGTGCGAGAAACCGGGATACCCGCTGCTCTGTGCCACTGTCCAGGGTACAGATGTGCTTTTGAAGCAGGAACGGTGAGATTTCCCATTATAGTCAAATTTGCTTTAATAAATGTCCACATGACGTTATTTATTTCGGATAATTAACAGATTGCAGTCTATTTGTTTTAATATTTTTTTTATTAAAAATAAGTGCGCATTTGACCTCAGCTGATGAAACGTGATAATGAAGTCGATGATGCCTACCTAAATAACGCCTATTCACTCTCGCCTTGGAAAAGCCCAACTTGTACCGTTAAGGAAACAAGTTTGCAGGCATGGAATTCCACTCCATAGCCGTTCGCCATATAAATGTGGAAGTGTAACGCTTCGTTTGAATCTTTAAAATACCCACAACATAGGGGTGAAACTCCAGCCTACATCTTGTACCCCGATGGTGGAAAAGGGAAGGCGGAATTAAATCGTGCAATTTCATTGCACACTCTCCGCGATATATCCTGTAGAAAAGCAACTTTTACGGCGGTGTTGAAGGTCGCCGTCTATCTCTCTTATACGTTAAAGTGTTAATATAATACAATATAAATATCTTTACTTCTCTTTCTTTTTATGAATGTCTAAAAATGTGGTAATAGTTTTCTGGTATATTCGGTCCTTTGTTGGGCGCAAAAAATGTATTTTATAATTTTGGCACCCCTATTCGTGTAATTTTTTTATCGTTATAATTGCTTGATAGTTGTTAAATTACAAATTTTTTAGCAAAGAAATAGAACGTTATTGTACAAAGGCGAGCTTATCCTATAAAGGGATTTCTTCCAGCTGGCCTTTGAATGGTTGAAAAGAAAGTTGACTCCTGTGTAAAACAAAAGATTATTGTTTGTTTCTGCAATATAATATATCAATACAATTTTAATATTTTGCCTCTAAGCAAAACGTATAGATCATTCATCGTAATGTTATACATATACAGATCAAAATATTTTACTCCATGGTAAACAGGGTTAGTTTGTAAGACACAACGCCATCTACTGACTCGCAAATTTGTCAAAAATCAGAAAGCAATTTAATTTCATGACATGGTCATTATTTGAATAATGTTACATGGAAGAATGTGGTTTGAAAGAGGATATAGTGATTACAATAGAAAAGGGTATACTGAGATGGTTGGGGCAAAAGGACCGAATGAAGGAATGTAGATTAACGAAATAAATATTAAATTTACATAAACATATTGTTAAATAATAAATACATTGACTTACAAATAAATGGACGACGGGTCTAATACAAAAACCACGAAAAAAATGTCCCAAGTCAACCTATTTAAACGTAGTGACATGTAAAGGAATATGAAAAAGCTAAAACGTTGAATTTAAATTGTAATGTCATCGCAGTACTGTCTAATTTTGCTTGCTTCGCTGTCAGTCGAACAAACGAAGACTAAAGCATGAATGACGCTCTGTATACGATTTTAACGCCCTATAAGTTTGGACACTTTATAGCGCGGACCCGACGTCCATATAATTGTAAGTCAATGAATAAATATATTATAAATATATAAATAAACATATTATTAAATTTGTTATTGATTATTTTACTATTGTTATTATGTTTCATTAGTATTAGGTTGCATTAATTGGACTGCATGATTATAATATTATTACAAATTATTGCATGAGAATTACTAAAACTAAGAAAACTTTGTATGCCATAAGGCGGATCACAGTGATTCAAAATTCATTCTTGTAACAACTTTATAACCTGTGTATCACAAAGAAATAAATGATTGAGCCACGAAGAACATTCTGTGATCAAATTGAGAGGGTTTCTTAAAAAGGCTAATTATCTCAGTTACAGACTACCAAAACACAATTTTTTCGTAATACCGTTGACTTTTCCAGCTTCGTAATGTCAGCTGAACCGCCGGATCCTGAACCTCCGATGCTTAACTATCTTTTAACGATGGACTTGAGAGCTGATCTGGACGAGATCTTTTACGACCCTGGTAAGTAACTTTGACCTACGATGCAGAAACTTGAGTTGCAATTGCGCTGGCTATCTACTGTTCAATCCGGAACAGAAGTGATGTTCTGACGTCGGAATAGAGAGGGCTGTAGTAGTACAACAACTGGTTAAAACTAAGAAGAGGATGTTATTCAATTAACCCAACCAATCCTGAACTGTCTGAAGAAAGTTTGACTTCAGTTTCGCGTGTGGGTACAGTGAGAATAGTTTGTCGGAAAAAAGTAAGTGACAATATTGATGCCACAAGTAATCGAGGTGAGGGTAGTCGTCGACAGCAAAAGGGGGTAGACAAATAGAGTTTCCGTAGTGCGGGGCTATAAGTGTATGCGTTATTATTATTATTATTTTTAAATATAATTCCACACACACATACCTAAAATTATATAGTGAAGAAAAAACATTCATAGATTTCTCACAGATAAATAAATAAATAAATATTAGGCAACATCACATAGGTTGCTCTTATCCCAACGTAAGTAGCTAAAGCACTTGTGTTATGTAAATCGGAAACGATGGTACCACAAACATCCAGATCCGAGACAATATAGAAAAGTTAGTTTTTTTACACTGACCCGGCCGGAAATCGAACCCGGGACCTCAGAGATGGCGACAATATGGAAACCGATGAACAAACCACTCGACCGTCACAGATAGCGCTATGGCAAAGTTAAAATGGACGCGACGAGCTGAGGACCGGGCGAAATGACGCGCATTGGGAGAGATATATATCCAGCAGTAATGATGATATAGTTATTTTTGATACAAGTGCGGAAAGTTAGTCATTATTCACGAGTCCCGAGGCATCTTGGCCCGAGCCAGAGGCGAGGGTCAAAGCTCGAGACAAGTGAAAATGACAAATCCGCACGTGTATCAAACGACGTTTTTTAATACATTTGCGAAAAACCTACATTGAAAGTAAAATAAAACAGTATTTATGAAAAAGGCGGGAATGTAAACGATGAAAAAAATTAGTACTTTTTTTGGCCGACTTTTTTCAATATGGCAACTGTTGCCAGTATTCAGCCACATTAAAATTACTATTTTATATTACTTTATTTTCTACATAATCGCTACTAAGGAGCATTTACTTCATAGGTGTAAAAATGCGGTCTCTCCATAGATATAGTATAGTAATGACGAATGACTTACGTCACAAAGCACATAAATATGAAATAAATATACAATCTCTTTAGTTCTATGTTTAAGACTTAAAACAACAGTAAATTTAAAAAAAACTGGAAAAGTAAAAAGCACTAGTGCGAGAAATCCAACTTTCCGCACGATTTGTAGTGCGAAAAATACCACGTTTTGAGCAACTGTATTAAAAAATTTATTTTTTCCAGAAAACTTTACAGAAGCAATAGATGAAGATTTAAACTCGACTAGTACAACACCTCTCCCCACAACAACAACTCGCCGACCCACTGCCAAAACAACAAAACCCCCACCAGCGCCGAAATGGGTGATACCGGTCACCTTCTCCGTCGGGCCATTGGAGAAGGAGTATGAGGAAGAAATGGAGAATGTCACTACAAGGAATAATGTTGTTTTGAATAATGCGACAAGCTTAAATGGAACTTGGTGAGTCCTGCGTTCTGGTTTTGATTCGTACCGGAATCGAAACGATCGGATAGTCTCGAAATCAGATGGGTTTGGAGCTTTGCTATAATAGACGAAAATTAAATATTTGATATTTAATTACCGATGATATTTGATTCCGTTTCTTTTATAATTAGAGGTATTGCTGTTTTTCCCCACACCGCCGAATGGAACAGCACGCCATTGTTAGAGATTCTGTATTTATTACAATAAATACAGAATATTTTTGGAATATACGGAGACGTACACACAGTTTAGTTGTTGGCGCTGTACTATTTCAGCTTTCTAATTTGTAATTTTAGTGCAAACGAGAGTTGATATTTATAAGTGATGTGTCACTGATGAGTTACCACGAATCTATGAGCCATATTTCGTCTATATTTCTGGTTATATACTCGATGGTAACACACAATTCCATCTATTGACACCATTGACTTACAAATAAATGGACGACGGGTCTAATACAAAAATCACGAAAAAAATGTCCCAAGTCAACCTATTTAAACGTAGTGACATGTAAAGGAATATGAAAAAGCTAAAACGTTGAATTTAAATTGTAATGT